TAAATGATATGTAATCTTAGAATTACTGGCTAATTTCAGACAATTTTGTTCATTCCTAAATGTTGCAGAAGACTGGTTTTGAAAAGGTCAAGGTTTTATTCCAGTTAATATATAGTATGCTTAGTGGGTATCTACAATGGTTGCACATAGTGTAGAGACCATCATTCATCATCTGTACTTGTTTAAATTTTCTGTATTGCTTTCCCTTCTAATCATTTCCTCTGTTTGGAGAAGCTGTTCCTGTAGCAAAACTTGTATTTGTTATTCATTGGGGCTTTCTTTGACTTTGCCACATATTTGCTAATGAACTAGAAGAATGTTTTCCTCTATGTAAAAGTTGGATAGAGTTCTATGGAGCATCATTTGTACTGTTCACTGGAATGCTGTATGGAAATGTTCTTGTGACATTTTACTGGGAAGTATGAAAAGCACGCTCTCATGACATTTCAAAGAAGATTAATATTCTGCAATATTACTACGGAGTCTAGAAAGACTTGAACAAAACAGATTACTTCTTTCATTTATAATTACCAATAGCTCTTTTACACAATGCTAGTTGTACTGGTTAATAATGCGGATATAATACAGAAATACCAATGATCATAAGAAACTCCTATGAACAATTATGCACCAACAAATTGAACTGAGAAGAAGGTACATTCCTAGGAACCTAAAAGCTACCAAGATTGAATTATGAAGAAATAGAAAATATGAACAGACCAACAATGAGCAAGGATATTACATTAAAAATAAAAAAAATCTTCCCACATAAAAAAGCACAGGACCAGATGGTTTTACAAATTAATTTTACCAAACATTTAAAAAATACGTTTTTATTTATTTTTGGAGAGAGAGGAAGAGAAAAGGAAAGAGAAATATAAGTGAGACAGAGAAACATTTAGTGGCTACTTATTAGGGATCTAGCCCTCAACCAAGGCCTGTTTCGAACAGGAATTGAACCAGTGACCTCTTGGTACATGGGACAACACTCACTGAGTTACACCTTCTCAAACTGTTCTAAAAACAGAAGAAGAAACACATCCAAACTATTTTTATGAGGCCAGTATTACTCTGATACCAAAGCCAGACACTGTAAGAACAGAAAATTATAGGCCAAATTTCTGTTTGTTTGTTTTTTTCTTTTTCTTTTTTAAATCTTCATCTAAAGATTTTTTACCACTAGAAGCCTGGTGCACAAATTCGTGCACAGGTGGGGTCCCTTAGCCTGGCCAGTGATTGGGGTTGATTGGGGCCCGTCTCACCCAGTCCCGAGAGGCGGGGAGGGACAGCAGGAGGTTGGCAGGCCGGCAGGGGGGAGGGACCGTTTGAGGTTGGCTGGTTGCAGGAGGTTGGCTGTAGGAGCACACTGATCACCAGGGGACAGCTCCTGCAATGAGTGTCTGCCCCCTGGTGGTCAGTGAACATCATAGCGATTGGTCAATTGGTCAACTGGTTGTAATGGTCGCTTTGGCTTTTATACACTAGTGGCCTGGTGCACAAAACTTGTGCACTTGGGGGGGTCCCCCATCCTGACCTGTGCCCTGTCACAGTGCAGGAGCCCTGCAATCCATCTCTCCAAAGAGGTAGGCCCCGCCCACCCATCTGGGGCTCCTTAATGAATTGCCCTAAAAAAGTAAGCCGTAGCCAGGGTCCTGCTTCTGTGTCACGTAGAGCCGTGGGACAACCCCGCCCCGCCCCCACCCCAGGCCTCATCACACAGAGCAGAGGGCCCCCCAGGCCTCCGGAACCCAGCAGAGGTGTGCAGAGGCCTCTGTCAGGCCCCAGGCCTCCTGGTGATGGATTGTGACAGTGTGACACAAGTCCCCGCATGCAGCCTGCTGATCGATCGTTATGCGTGAGGGCATCCCGACCATTTACATATCACCCTTTTATTAGTATAGATAGATTGATTTTCAGACAGAGTGGAAGGGAGGAAGGAGGGGAGGGAAGAGAGAGTGTGAGAGAGAAACATTGATCTAAGAGAGACACATGGATTGGTTGCCCCCTGCATATGCACTGACTAGGGCCTGGGATCAAATCTTTAAGATCAGATACAAGACAAGGGTGCCCATTCATTCTTGCCACTTGTATTCATCTGAAAGTCCTTGCCAGAGCAGTTAGTAAAAATAATTAATTAATTAGTTAATTAATGGCATCCAAATAAAAAACAAGTCTCTATTTGCAGATGACACAATATTATATACAGAAAACCCTAAATACTGCACCAAAAGATTATTAGAACTTATAAACAGATTTAGGAAGGTTGGAGGTATAAAATCAATATACAGAAATCTGTTGCACTAACAAAAAAAATCAGAAAAAATTCAGATACAGTCCCAGTTTTAATAACAATAAGAAGAAATATTTAGGAGTAAATTTAACCATGGAGATGAAAGATTTATACACTGAAAGCTTTCAAACATTAATGAAAAATTGCCGGGACTGGTTTGGCTCAGTGGATAGAGCATCGGCCTGCGGACTGAAAGGTCCTGGGTTCGATTCTGGTCAAAGGCATATACTATCTTGGTTGCGGGCACATCCCCAGTGGGGGGTGTACAAGAGGCAGCTGGTCGGTGTTTCTCTCTCATCGACGTTTCTAACTCTCTGTCCCTCTCAATTCCTCAATATCAATAAAATCAATAAAAAAAATTATTAAAAAAAAAATTGAGGAAAACAGAATTAAGTGGAAAATACTTTGTGTTCATCGATTGGAGGAATTAATAATGTTAAAAGACCAATATTATTCTACAGATTCAATGTAATTATTATCAAACATTTTCACAGAAATAGGAAAAAAAATACTAAATTCATATGGAACCACAAACAGTTCCATAGCCGATGCAGTCTTGAAGAAAAAAAAAAAAGAACAAAGCTGGACACATCACACTTCCTGATTTCTAACTATATTACAAAGCTACAGTAGTGCGATCACTAAAACAGAATATAAACCCAGAAATAAACTCATACATATATGATTAATTTTCAATAAAGGAGACAAAAATATACAGTGGGGGAAGAAAGGTGGTGTTGGGGAAATTGGATATCAACATCTGCATGCTAAAGAATTAAAATGGATTCCTATTTTGCACTGTACACAAAAATCAGCTCAGATTGGATTAAGACTTGAATATATGACCTGAAACCATAAAAGTCCTCGAAGAAAACATAAGGGATAAGCTCCGACTCTTGAGAATACCTATAGCTCAAGAGATCCTAAGGGGGAGGGTGTCTTCTTTTCCAGTGTGGATATTGCTGGGTTCAGCTCCCATCCTGATTCTACCCTGCCCCTTAGTCATTATAGAAATGAAAATCAAAACCACAATGAGATGCAACCTCACACCAATAGGATGTCTATTATCATAAGAAAAGATGCAACAAATGCTGGGAGAATGTGGAGAAATGAGAATTCTTGTATACTGTTAACCTTATTAAAAATTGGCTCAGCCTGGCTGGCATGGCTCAGTGATTGAGCCTAGCAGGGGTCCTCAAACTTTTTAAAGTGGGGGCCAGATCACGGTCCCTCAGAGAGCTGGAGGGCCAGACTATATGAACTACTAATTCCTACTGTAACACCTCGGCTGCGCTCACTGCCCAAAAAACCTGGCGGGCCGGATCAGACTCCTCTGCGGGCCGCATGTGGCCCGCGGGCCGTAGTTTGAAGACGCCTGGCCCTAGACCTATGAACCAGGAGCTCACAGTTTGATTCCGGGTCAAGGCACATCCCTAGGTTGCAGGCTCAATCCCCAGTGTGGGGCAAGAAGGAGGCAGCTGATCAATGATTCTCTCTCATCATTGATGTTTCTATATTTTTCTTCCTTAACCCTTCCTCTCTGAACTCAATAAAAAAATATATTTTAAAATATTGGTTCAAAGGGATCACAGATGTAAATGTAAAACATAAAACATTAACACCTTTTTAAAAAATCAAGGGACAACTTCAGGATATAGAATTGGCAAAGAATTATTAAACTTGACACTAAAAGTATAATCTATAAAACAAAAATTGATAAATTGGATTCTATCAAAATCCAAAGCTTTTTCTCTGCAAAAGATCCTTTTAATAGGATGAAAAGTCAAACTACAGACTGGGGAAAAGAATACTTTAAACCACATATGTGCTTTAAAAAAAAACACACAAAAAAACCCACAACAACACAAAAACAAAAAACCTAGAGTCTAGAAGATATTAAAAATCCTCAAAACTTAATAGTATATTAAAAAAGAATCCAATTAGAAATGGGCAAAAGACATAAAGAGACATTGCATCAAAGAGAAATATGTACAATTAGCTATACATGCTGTACCCTAGCCATTACAGAAATGCAAGTTGAGACCAAAATGAGAAATTACTACATACTTATCAGAACAGCTAAAATAAAAACTAATGACAACACCAAATGCTGGCAAAGATGCATAAAAACTAAATTGCTGATGGAAATTAAAATGGTATAACCAATCTGGAAAATAATTTGTCAATTTCTTTAAAAATTGCCATAGAAGCAATTACACTTTGGTATTTATTACAGAGAAATGAATCCTGGTTATGAATGTTCATAGCAACTTTGTTTTTGTTTTTCCATTGATTTGTAGAGAGAGTGGAAAGGAGGGAGGGGGACAAAGAGAAAACGAGCGAGAGAAACATTCATATGAGTAAGATACATCCATGGCTGCCTTCTGCATATGAGAATTTAGTTATGTCTAAAGACTAATATTTTATATTCTTTTGTGCCATTTCATTTACTGCTGTGAGAAATTGACTTCTAATTGTTTGAATTTCCCACAATGCAAACCTTGTGGAAAGGAGCTACAACTATTTTGTAGGCTCTGTGTTGAATGTTTGAAAGCACAACTGACTAAGTAGTAAATTAATGGTTTTCATTATAAAGGACAGTGCTATTTGTATGTGAATGTATATAAACTACCTTTGAGATATAATTCACAAGTCATACAGTTCGCCCATTTCAAGTATATGATTTAATGATTGGTTATTTCTTTAACAGGGCAAAAAGGATGTGACCCAGATATTTAACAACATCTTGAGAAGACAAATAGGCACTCGATATCCTACTGTGGAGTACATTAGTGCTCATCCTCATATCCTGTTTATGCTCCTCAAAGGGTAGGTACATGGTTTCCTTCAAAGTAGATTTGAGTTTGGAATAGTTAAAAGTAGAACTTATATGCATATATGCATAGCCCATGGACAAATAATAGTGTGGGGAAGGCCCGGGGAGGAGGTGAGAGCAGGGTGGAGTCAGTCAATGGGGGATAAATGGGGACATCTATAATACTTTTATCAATAAAGATAATTTTTTAAATATTTTGCAGAGAGGAATGGAAAGGAATGGAGAATTAGAAACATCGATGAGAGAGAGACATTAATCTGCTGCCTCCTGCACATCCCTTATTAGGGATGTGCCCACATCAAAGGTACATACCCTTGATGGGAATTGAACCTGGGACCCTTCAGTCTGCAGGCCGACACTCTATCCACTGAGCCAGACTAGTTAGGGCAAGATAAAATTTTAAAAGGTATATAACATTAGCCTCATTTTGAGATGTGATGGGTTCTCTTTTGGAATAACAGTAAAGGTATTTTTCAAGGTTGAGGTCAGCCTTCCAAATCAGCATCACCATAATTACTTAGACCACAGCAAAATCCTTTCTTTACATCTTTATATTCCTTTTTTCAATATTAAATTTATTGGGTAACATTGATTAATAACATTATATAAGTTTCAAGTGTACTATTTTATATTACCCTATTTTCTGGCATATAAGACGACCCCCTAATTTTACAGTTAAAACATAGGTTTAGGCCTATATTCGCTGTATAAGACTACCCCCCACTTCCGAGGCAACACCAGTTCTTTTTTTAATAGACCGCCTCTCTGACTCTGGCCAATCTGAGCAGCTTTTTACTAGAACACAGTGTAACTTCGGGTACAGAACATGTACACTGTGTTCTAGTAAAATCAGGAGTGGGTAACCTTTTTTCTGCCAAGGGCCATTTGGATATTTATAATATCATTGTCAACTTGAAAAAAATTAGCTGCTATATTCATTCAGCAGATGAATGGATTAAAAAAAACAACTGTGGTACATCTACACAATGGAATACTACACTGGTAAAAAAAAAAAAAAAAAAAAAAAAAAAAAGAAAAAAAAAAAAAAAAAGAGTTCTTACCATTTGCAACAGCATGGATAGAGCTGAAGACATTATGCTAAGTGAAATAAGCCAATTAGGGAAAGATAAATATCACATGATCTCACTCATTTATGGAATATAATGAACAACATAAATTGATGAACAAAAACAGATCCAGAGACAGAGAAGCATCGATCAGACCATCAAACCTCAGAGGGAAGGTAGAGGAGGGTGGGGGTAAGGGGGAGAGATCAACCAAAGGACTTATATGTATACATATAAGCCTAACCAATGGTCACAGACAACAGGGGGGTGAGGGCATGAGTGAGGGCCTGGGGGAGATAATGGGGGACTAAGGACACATATGTAACACCTTAATCAATAAAGAAAAATTTTAAAATTAGCTGCTATATTTAGTCAAACATTTAATTAACTCACCCCTAATGCCTTGGCAGGGCCAGACCAAATGATTTTATGAGCCTTATACGGCCTGCAGGACATATGTTTCCCACTCCTGTTCTAAGTCAACAGTCTTTATATTTTCTTAAGTCCTCTTGAATAAATTATAATGCTTTTCTCCTTCACATTTCAGAAAATATACACCTCTTGATAGCATGTTTAGTATTTCCCCACCTGTAACTCTTTCATGTGTGCCAGTAGGTTGATTTTCAAATTATTCCAAGAGAAGTTTCTAACACTATAAATAGGCATTTTTTATATTCTGAAAATAATCAGGCCTACCCGAATATATTAGCATTTGATGTTAATATCAGTTATTCAAAGACTACTCATATGATATTTTAAAAGGTTATTCAGAATAAAACAGGGCAAAAGTGAGTAAATATAACCCTGGTTTAATGCATTCTCTCAATATCCTTGTTTGCCATTTTCTCTACTGTATCTATAAAATTGATAGTGTAAACTAAACTAGCATATTTTCTAAATTGTGCAAAATAAAATTTATTCTTGAATCGGAATTTCATGTAAATATTTTCTTATAAATAATAGTTCATTTTTCTTTATTGTTCAGCAATAAATTATATCTTGTGCTTGGTAAATAATATCTTGAAGTTTTGTATGAAAGTAGTTTGGTTTGGTTTTTCAAATATTTGATTTTTCCTCATCTATTCAGTTTTCTTATCAGCTCAGTTCTCATCTATTCAGTTCGCATCCACTTAGTGGTCTATTTTGCTTTTAAAAATATTTTTTTCAGAATCTTTCTAACTTGCAGAATTCATGGAAAATTTGAAAATATATCATTTTTCCTATTATCAATATTATAGGAAAGCACTTTTTAAAGAATTGAGATATTAAAAGTTATTTTTTCCAATAGACTTTGTACTATAACCATAAAAACTACTATTATATTCAACTGAAATGTTAAATGATATAAGATTTTTTTAAAAATATATTTTATTGATTTTCTTACAGAGAGGAAGGGAGAGAGATAGAGAGCTAGAAACGTCGATGAGAGAGAAACATCGACCAGCTGCCTCTTGCACACCCGCTACTGGGGATGTGCCCGCAACCATGCCCTTGACCAGAATCAAACCTGGGACCCTTGAGTCCACAGACCGACGCTCTACCGCTGAGCCAAACCAGTTTTGGCATGTTATAAGATTTTTTTAACCCTGTACTCACTTCTCAGGTTTTTCCAACTATATCTTTGTATTCTTCCAATGTTTACCACACAATTGTCAACTATATCATTTCAATATTGAACATGTCTTACTTGAGCTAAATATTATTCATTTTCTTAAAACCTTATTGTACACTGTAGTATAAATCAAGCCTAGATCTATTTCATTGTTAAATTTGATACTTGAAAATTTGTTATTAAATTAGAAATGGAACAGGTCTAGTATGCTATTCCTGAATTGTTTCCTACAGAAGATGTGTTTTTCTAGTGTAGTTTTTGCTGTGAGATGTATTTTACTTCATTATTATAGCGAGTCAGTCAATCCACAACTATTACTGGTTATCCCATTTATCTTTTTTCTGAACTCCAGATGGGTAAATACTACTGCAAAGGAGATATCTCTAATTAGATATCAGGCATCTCAAAGTTAACATGGTCAAAAACTATCTCTTAATTTCTAACCTGTTCCTCAACTAGTTTATTCATCTTAATGAATAGCACCACCATCTACCCAATTATATTCAAGCTCAAAACACAGAACTCATTCTTTAATTTTCAATTTCACCCCAAATTTATTCCCCACCCTGCCCTAGCTACATCCGCAAGTCCTGTTGACTCTTCCTTCAAACAAATATGCATGACCTGACCACAGCCAGCAATTCTACTACTTCTACCCCAGTCCAAGCTACCATCATCTCTACTAGTTCCTTCTCCTACCTAGTCTCCGTCTTCCACTATAGTTCCCCAGCCCATTCTTTCCTAGATTCTCCTTAGGTACCTAGAGTGATCTTTTGAAAGCATATAGTAAGCCATGTTATAAACTCTCCAAAGACTTTTTATTCAAAGTCCAGTAGGTTATCTGGCCACTGCCCTTCTCTGCACTCCTGCCTCATTTCACACCGTTCACTACTCTTTGCCCTGTGCTTCAACTACAGTGGCCTTCTACTATAAATCATCAAGCTGGTTCCTGCCTTGGAGCCTTTGTACAGTTAGTTACCTTCGCTTGGAATGCTTTGCCTATTCCCTGGCATCTCAATCTACTAATTAAATTAAGTAGTAGTTATACTCTAAATACAGGCAGTCCTAGGTTACGTTGGACTCAACGTATGTCATTTTGTGGTTACGTCGACATCTCCCATTTGTTTATATAAAAAAAAAGTTCTGTCATTTTGACATGTGCTTCATGTTTTTTTTTGTTGTTTTGGTTTTTTTTAATATTTTTTATTGATTTTTTACAGAGAGGAAGGGAGAGAGATAGAGAGCTAGAAACTTCGATGAGAGAGAAACATCGACCAGTTGCCTCTTGCACACCCTTGGATGTGCCCGCAACCAAGGTACATGCCCTTGACCGGAATCGAACCCGGGACCTTTCAGTCCGCAGACCAACTCTCTACCACTGAGCCAAACCGGTTTTGGCTGTTTTTTATTTTTCATTTACCACAAGTAAAGATCAGGAATAGTTATCTTTCTTTCAAATTGTTTTACTGTTTCACTTCATTACTGCTGTGTATGTGCTCCATGTGAGTGACCTAGGTATTTATGTAGATGGGTTTCTACTTACGTTAAAAATCACATTATGTTGCACCATAAGAATGGATCTCTGATGTAACCCGAGGACCTATGTATACATGTTGTTACCAGATCCCTGGGCTCCAGGATAGAAATAGAGAACCCATTGAATCATGACTTAGGTGAAGGTTCATTAAAGCTTCGTGCACAAAGGGAGACAACTCTTAGAAAAGAGGAAAGATGCTACTTTTTGAGCAATGGCTGGGGAGAAATTTTAAAGGATTTTAGACGGGAAAGCTGACATCTAAGTATAATATGTAAGCATGTAGTGGCGGGGCTCTTTGATGGTTGCACTATATATCATATTTCTTCATACGTCGTATGTTTCATTAGCGTATTCAGTCTCTACCCAGCATATGTTTTTTACTGTTATAATGGTGATAAGGTCATGCAATAGTTGTTCTGGGGCTAAACTGCGCATGCATTAGGGTTGGGATACTTTCCCCCAATAAAGCAGATCCCTGGCATTGCTCTCTCTGGCCTGTAATTGGGTGCAGCGTTTGAGGGGCAACCAAAGAAAATGCCAATCTTATCATGAGAGGCTTAGCCTGTCACACTGTTTTTATTCTCTTTAGTTTCAGAGCACTTCTCAGAAAATGAAATTCTCTTTTCATTTTTTATAGCCTGCCTCTTCCCCCACCAGATGTAATCTCACTAAAATACGGAACATTAGGAAGCAAGTGACTTGTCTGCTTACTGATGTACCCCCAGTACCTGGAATAATACCACACACATCATAGATATTCAGTGGGCATTGGATGAATGGTGTTTGAAAGAACTATGACAAATGCTGTCTATGCCTCCATAACAGCAGTGTTGAAAAGGTTCTTTTGATAAGATTAATACTATTTGTTAATAGGATAACAGAGTTCTCTGTCTCTTGTTTATGCTTTAGATATGAAGCCCCACAGATTGCCTTACGTTGTGGAATTATGCTGAGAGAATGTATTCGACATGAACCACTTGCCAAAATCATCCTCTTTTCTGATCAATTCAGAGATTTCTTTAAGTATGTGGAGTTGTCAACATTTGATATTGCATCAGATGCCTTTGCTTCTTTTAAGGTAATTTTTCCTTAATAAAGTAGATCACTTAGTTTCAGCATTTAGAGTCACTTGGCCTCTGAAGAAGCAATTTAATTTTAAAAAGCAGAAAATTCTATTTCTTAGGTGTGGGCATAGACAAATGTGTATGTTGTGGATCATAAGAGGCATTAGAAAATAGAATACAGCCTATTAGGCTAGTTGCCACATCTCAACATACTGCCACAGCTAATACAGAATGAATTCCAATATATAAATAGGAAAAAACAGTTCTCTGTGTATGCCATACTTTTATTTATGTTAAAAACAAAGGGTATAAGCTTCCACTTAACGTGTATATGTATCAAATGCATCTGGGAAGGTGTCTGGGAAATAGGGTATTTGCCTCCAAGGAAAGAAATTCGGTGTGAAGGAAAGTAGAGAATTACATTTTTGAATATGTGAAGACAATATTATTTTATCAGTGTATTTTTCAAATTTCCACACTAATAAATTATATTGTATTTTTAAAATAATCTTACATATTCTTTTTATATACTTTGTTATTATGTAGGTGTTAAGTTTAATCTAACTTAGTTTTTAAATTAAGACATTTTTAATTGTGGTAAAATGCACATAAAATTATCATCTTAATCATTGTTTAGTCATACTTCAGTGCATATGTATATTCATATTATCATACAACTGGTTTCTATTAAACAATTTTCCATTTCCCTCTCCAGCTACTGGCAGCCACTTTCTACTTTCTGTTTCTATGAGTTTGGTTGTCAAAAAGATGTTCAGAGAGCATATTAGAAAATAGTGTAGTTATTTTGAAAACTAAAATACTAGTACTTATACATCCAAAGAATGATATCCCCTTCAGGTTTTTATTTTAGAAAGCCATGTACTCATTCTTATGATTCTGCCATTGTTTAGTGTATTTTGAAACTGGTATCAATGTTTGTGGCATGTTCGTTTTTCTTTTTTAAAAATGTTTTTATTAATTTTGAGAGAGAGAGGAAGGTAGACGAAGAAAGGGATAGAAACATTGATGAGAGAGAAACATCATTGATCGGCTGCTTCCTGTTCACTTCCTAGAGAGGATCAAGCCTGCAGGCTGGGCATGTGCTCTGACCGGGAATTGAACCGTGCCCTCCTGGTTGATGGGTTGATGATCAACCACGGAACACATTGGCCTGGCAGCATTTTCATTTTTCAATAATGGCAAAATGTTTAAAATATATTTTTATTGATTTTAAAGAGGAAGGGAGAGGGAGAGAGAGATAGAAACATCAATGATGAGAGAGAACCATTGATTGGCTGCCTCCTGCAAGCCCCCAACCAGGGATTGAGCCCACAACCTGGACACGTGCTCTGACCGGGAATTGAACTGTGACCTCCTGATTCATAGGTCAATGCTCAACCACTGAGCCACACTGTCCGGCAGCACGTTCATTTTTCAATAATGGCAAATCTTTATGCTCTGAGGGCTTGAGCCGAATCTGAAATAAAATATCAACCTAGAATTTGAGATTGAAGGAAGGATAGTCACCAGCCTGCTCAGGTTTTCCACATGACTCTATCCAGTCCTGCCTGCTCCCCAGATTCTCCCTGAGAAAACGGGGGAGAGGAAAAGCCCTTACCTGGAAGTCTGTGATAGATGGAAAGGAGCAAGGGAAAGAGAAGAGAAGAAGGAGAAATTAGGGTGAAGATAAGATGTAAATAAAGGAAGAGGAAGTCTAGGAAGAACACAAAGAGTGAGTGGAAGGAAGGTTGAGGACAGACTAAGGAGAGTTGACTAGTGGGTAGAGGGAAGGGGAGGGGAATAGCAAACATGGACATGTGCTCTGAGTGCTGTGAAACCCTAGGAGTCTTTTCATTTCACAGGCCTCTCAGTCTCACCTGGCAAAACAAAATGGTATAGTGGCTACAGAAAGAGCATACCTAGAGCACATGGTGAGAGCGGCTGTGGTACATCAGATATGAAGAATGACATTTAACACAGAATCTGATTCAATGTTTTTCTAGCAACATGTCTGTGTCTAAGCATTTTAGGAAATGTTTTCTATTAATAGATATTGTAATTCTGTTTTCCCTTTTCTATCTGATGATGAACACAGGTAGTTGCTAAAAAAAAAAAAAAAAAAAAAAAAAAAAAAAAAAAAAAAAAAAAGCATAAGACTTCACAAATAATTGTAAACATAATACAAATTTTAATGGAGGAAAAACCAAATACAGTTAAATATCTATTTTTGGAAATTTCCCCAAAGATTTTTCAACATTTAATAGGAGAAACTTGATAATAATGTCTTGCTATCATATGTTCAGCCCACTTTAATTTCCAGCACAATATTGAATCATGAAATATTATGATGTTTTGATTTGTATTTCAGCATATTTTTTTGTTGTTTATGTTCAGCAGGTTCTCAAATAATGTCACCCTATATATATAAAATACAGAGGTAATATGCAAATTGACCATCACTCCAACACACAAGGTGGCCATCCCCATGTGGTCAAAGATGGCCGCCCCCATGTGGACACAATATGGCCACCACAAGATGGCCAACAAGGGAGGGCAGTTGGAGGTGACCAGGCCTGCAGGGTTGGACAGTTGTGGGGAGCATGTCTGCAGGGGAGGGTAGGTAGGCGTGACCAGGCCTGCAGGGGAGGGCAGTTGGGGGCAACCAGGCCAGCAGGGGAGGGCAGTTAGGGGTGACCAGGCTGGCAAGTGAGAGCAGTTAAGTTATTTCACATTTTTTCCCCTTAGAATTTTGAAGGAGTTGTTACTAACAGAACTGTCTCCTGATTCTTTGGTGTAATGCTAATGTGTAGTGAACAGAAAACCTTTCCAGGCGGCATGTAGTGGCAGAGTGCTTTTTGTGTTGCTGCTGTCACCACATGTGCAGGCCCTGGGGCAGAGGGAGAACATGGGCCAAATTCTCAAGGCTGACAGCTTGTGGCAGGTGGAGAACTCCCATGGTGCATCAGTCCTGGGTCAGCTCAGAAAATCACTGATACTGCTCAGGAGCGTTAGGGAATGGATTGTCTGCAAATTAGGTATCCCAAATATCCATCTTGGAAAAGATTAGGGACCCAAAGTGTGCTGTAGGACTACCTTACTCTCTCAAGAGTCCTCAGGAGAGGAATAGTTTGAATTTTTACTTCAGACAGGCCAGGAATGAACCCCCTCCCCCTTTTTTTTATTCCCACCCAAGGATATGTTTTGTTTTGTTTGTTTTTTAGAGAGAGACAGAAAAAAAGAAAGATAGATAGAGAAACATGGATGTGAGAGAGAAGCATCTATCAGTTGCCTCCTGTACACACTGTACCTAACTGGGGAATCGAACCTGAAACTTAAGTGTGTGCTCTGATCTGGAATTGAACCTGTGCTCCAACCAACTGAGCCACCCAGCCAGGGAAGTTTTCCCATTTTAAAATTACAGTTCCAGAACAGCATACTTGTTTGGCTTCCATGTTCTACGGGGGGAAAGGACCACGTTTCCACTGATAGGCCCAGTAGTCAATCAGGTTGTGACAACATGTATTATGAAATGAAATTAAGCTAGCCTCATTATTTTTTAAAAAATATATTTTTTATTGATTTTGTACAGAGAGGAAGGGAGAGAGATAGAGAGTTAGAAACATCGATGAGAGAGAGTCATTGATCAGCTGCCTCTTGCACACCCCCTACTGGGGATATGCCCGCAACCAAGGTACATGCCTTTGATCGGAATCGAACCTTGGACCCTTCAGTCCCCAAGCTGAAGCTCTGTCCATTGAGCCAAACTGGTTTCAGCTAGTCTCATTATTTTTGAACTTGAAAATTATAATGCAAAATGCTTTAAATATTTTACTTTTTATTAAAATAGAAATAGATGAGTTTTACCATTGCTGCCTTCTTTGTGAGATTATTGTGTGTATCTTCTATATGCTTTTAGGAAGTTTTAATTAAATATGTATTAAAGTATAAGAATTTATTTTGGAAAACTGTGAAATTCTTGTTAGGTTTTTAATTAAATTTTGAACAATACCTAAATAGGGTATTTAGCTTCTAAGCTTACAAAAGGGATTAAGTGAAGCTTGTTTTCTTTCCACATTAAGGTGAATTAAGGATATGATTAAGGTGTGATTTGAAAACAGTCAAACGTTCCTTTATGCTTTTGTCCAGTTTTCTGAGAGTTATGTCTGTAATAAGATCGGGCTGCTTGTGTTCAACTTTGAAAGGGTGCATTGTGCTACGGAGAAGCTCTCAGCCCATGAAGCCCAGAGCATGGTGATAGGAGACGGCCCTGCTAGATGTCATTCTTGTGCTTCCCAGCATCCTAGGCAACTCTGTTTTAAAAGTGGTTAAGACAAAACACTAAAGCTTAAAATCCCTTAAAATCTGTCAACTTGTGAGATATACTTTTAGACCATTCAGAATTCATTTTTTTAAATGATTAGTTGTTAATGATATCTTTAAAAGATCATCATAAACTTTATTTGAATATTATATCATATGTTCAATGTAGAGTTGTGGCTTGCAGAAATAAACTGTAAGCTCATCTCTAAAATACCATTTGTTTTAGTAATTAAATTATTTCTATAATTTAGCAATTATATGAATTTAAAACAAACACTTGTTTTTAACATGAAACAAGCTTGTGTTTCACATCTTAAAGTAAGAATGGAAATAATTTTGTGATGTAAACAAAAGTTTCTTCTGAAACTTATGTTTCAAATTAGTGGACTTATTAAATCTTAGAAGAAAAAGATTCTTAAAAAATTTATTAGCTATGATAATTTTGTTTCACTTGGTTCTTCTTTCTCTAGGACTTACTAACCAGACATAAAGTGTTGGTAGCAGACTTCTTAGAAAAAAATTATGACACTGTAAGTAGAAGTTATTTTTACGTCTTTCTTTATTCTCTCTTCCCCTCCCTTTCTTCTTTCTTTCCTCCCTCCCTCTCTCTTAGATCTATGAGCACTTATTTATGTTTATGATCCACTATAGAAATCAACCATCTCAACCATATATCCAATTTATCTTTTACCCAGAAGCCAGACCATCAGTAAACCTTGTGGAAAATTGATGATGGCAGGACATCAGGGCTTTCTCATTTTTTATATCTCTTCTTAGTGTTGTGCTTTGGAGCTCCAAGAAACAACTAGCACCTGTCTACCTTGATCTTAACTTAAGGGTATCCATGTTGCCCTTAAGAGCCAGTAGGTAACTCTTCCATATGGAATAACACCCTACCATAACTAAGATAAGTCATTTGACCTGGTCAATAATTAGTTTTACTGACTAGTAGAAATACCAAAATATTTCTATCTTCTCTAATGGTGAATCCAGCTCATCCTTTTGCAATTTGGAATAATGTGACACTTCTAGCAAGCTTTCCCTAACCACACCCTTACACACTCACACCCTTACACACACACACACACACACACACACACATTCACACACATATCTTGCCTCCCTCCCCTGCCTCTCCCTCACTTTTTACAATGTATTATTATTGATATATTGTGTCTGGATCTAACTAGCTGGTCCTTTAGCTCCCTGAGAGGCAGAAACTTATCTGTTGAACACAAGGGTCCAGAGTTCAATATAGACTTCAAGTCCGCTTCAAGACCCAGCTCTCCTCTTACTAATTGCGTGACCCTGGGCAAGTTCCTATAACTACTTCAAAATAAAGATTTCGCTTACTTCATAGGGCAGTGGTAGGAATTTAACAAGATTTAAAGTTTTCAAGATGGTACCATGGTAAGCACTCAGCATTAAGTTTCATCATTATTACTTGTATCCCTAATACCTAGAATAAATAATCAGTCCTTTATAAATAATAAGTCTAGTTATTGTGACTTTAATGTGAACTACATGCTTTTGTTTATACTTTTCACTTTTTTGGCTATTTTTTAAAATTTAATAAATCTTGCCGGGACCGGTTTGGCTCAATGGATAGAGCGTCGGCTTGGGGACTGAAGGGACCCGGGTTCGATTCCGGTCAAGGGCATGTACCTTGGTTGCGGGCATATCCCCAGTAGGGGGTGTGCAAGAGGCAACTGATCGATGACTCTCTCTCATCGATGTTTCTAACTCTCTATCTCTCTCCCTTCCTCTCTGTACAAAATCAATAAAATATATTTAAAAAAAAATTTAATAAATCTTTATTGTTCAGACTATTACAATTGTTTCTCCTTTCCCCTCATAGCTTCCCTCCACTCAGTTCCCACCCCACCCTCTGCCCTTACCTCCCCGTATTATCCTCATCCATAGGTGTATGATTTTAGTCCAGTCTCTTCCTGTACCCCCCACACATCTTTCCCCTGATAATTATCAATCCACTCCCTTTCTTTGCCCCTGATTCTATTATATTCACCAGTTTATTCTGTTCCTCAGATTTTTAATTCACTTGATTTTTAGGTTCACTTGTTGATAGATATGTATTTGTCGTTCATAATTTTTATCTTTACTTCTTTCTTCTTCCTCTTAAAGAATACCTTTCAGCATTTCATATAATACTGGTTTAGTGGTGATGAACTCCTTTAGCTTTTTCTGATCTAGGAAGTTCTTTATCTGACCTTCCATTCTGAATGATAACTTTGCTGGGTATAGAGTAATCTTGGTTGTAGGTTCTTGCTATTCATCACTTTGATTATTTCTTGCCTCTCCCATCTGGCCTGCATAGTTTCTGTTGAGAAATCAGCTGATAATCATATGGGTGCTCCCTTATAAGTAACTGTTTTTCTCTTGCTGCCTGTAAGATTCTCTCTTTGTCTTTTGCCCTTGGCATTTTAATTATGATGTGTCTTGGTGTGGTCCTCTTTGGATTCCTTTTGTTTGGGATTCTGTGCGCTTCCTGGACTTGTAAGTCTATTTCTTTCACCAGGTGAGGGAAGTTTTCTGTCACTATTTCTTCAAATAGTTTTTCAGTATCTTGCTCTCTCTCTTCTTCTAGCACCCCCATAATTTTGGTGTTGGTAGGTTTGAACTTGTCCCAGACTTCTTACACTATTTTCAACTTTTTGGATTCTTTTTTGTTTTTTCTTTTCCATTTGAGTCTTTTTTGCTTCTTTGTATTTCAAATCTTTGACTTGATCCTTGCGTTCCTCTGGTCTGCTGTTGGGTCTCTGTATATTATTTTTTATTTCAGTCAGTGTATGTTTAATTTCTAGTTGGTCCTTTTTCATATTCTCGAGGATCTCATTAAATTTATTGACCTTTTTTAGGAAATTCTTGAAAAACCTTATAACTGGTTTTGAATTCTATACCCAGTCATTTGTTCTCCTTCATTTCTTTCATTTGTGGTCTGTTTCTTTGATTTCACATTTTCGCTGCTTCCCTGAGTTGGTAGCGTAGCTTTGTGTGCTAGGTTTCCTATATGGCTCGGTCAGTCAGCCTTCCCAGTTACCTGAGGTGGACACTCTTGTTGCTCCTTTTTGTGGACTGTGTGTACAGCCTTGTTGTAGTTAAGTTTTGATTGTTATTGGTATCACTGGGATGAATTGACCTCCAAGCCAGTTGACTGTGGGTATCAGCTGTGTCTATGCTGGGATACCTTCTGTATTGGAGACAGCCTTATAGGATCAGAATTGCAAAATTGCAAAAGTCTCTGTGCTCATCTTGGAGAGGGCAAAGTCTCAGGGCTGAGCAGACAGTCTTGGCTTCCCATCAGCCCTGCTCTTAGGAATGCGCCTCCAGACCTCTGCCTTCCATGGATCCCCTGAGTTTCCACCTGACAGTCCAGATACTCCCTGTAAGAGCGTGGGTCCCCCAGGGGCTCACCCGGAACTGGGTTTTAGTGCAATCAGAACTGGGATTCAGTACAGTCAGGAGCTTTTGACTCTTTCTGCTATGGAAAGCCTGCGGCAACCTCCACAGTCAGACCTCTTTATGTGCACTTGCATGTGTGCCTCTAGACCCTGCCTGCTGCAGTTCCACCTGATTCTCCGAGTCTCCAAATCTCCTTGTGCCTTTCTCTATAGTCCAGACTCCACCTGTATGAGTCTGGGTCCATGGAGTTCTGGCTGTAGCTGGGGTTCAATGCAGTCAGAACTGGGGTTCAGTGCAGTCAGGGGCTTCATTTCCCCTCCCGCCAGCCTGGCACTCGGGCACCCTTCCTCTCTGCGCACATGTCTCTCTACCTCAGCACTTTGCGGCTCCTCCGATCCCTGAGCTTTTCTCTTTCCTTCTAGTTGTAGAATTTCCACTCAGCCAGCTTTCTTGTGGTTTTAGATGATGTCTGTTCTGTCTTTTAGTTGCTGTTTTGAAATTGTTGTACAAGACAGCAATTTAGGTGTTTACCTAGGCTGCCATCTTGGTTTCTCCCTATACTTTCCACTTTCTTAATTCTCTCAGTAATTATCATCAGTGTGCTCAGCTTGCCCTCATCTCACTCAAGCAAACCCCCCCCCCCCCCCCCCACTTGGCCATCTGAGGACCAGGACTGTTTTGTACCTTCTTTAGCCTCTGAAAACTCTAGCTTTCAATTCTCTGCTGGTACTGCTCCTTCCACCTTAGTAATCCCTGAGTGCATCAACACATGGTGGGAGGTTGACACTGAGCTTCCCCAGCTGCTGGCTCCCTGAGTTGATGGAGGGGCCTTAGGGATGGTTGATGTTCGACCACATTAGGAAACGGGCTCTAAGCACCAGTGTCCCCAGCCTCTGGGGAGAGTAGAGGTGCTCCAGAGAGGCTAGTTGGGATTAGCATTGCCATCATGCAGCAAAAGTAGCCCTATTTCCTGTACATGTTCATGCTATGAATTTGACGACTTTCTTTCTTTTTTTCTTTTTTTTTTAAATAAACATTTTGATTTTTTACAGAGAGGAAGGGAGAGAGATAGAGAGCCAGAAATATCGATCAGTTGCCTCCTACATGTCCCCCATTGGGGATTTGCCCACAACCAAGGTACATGCCCTTGACCAGAATCGAACCTGGGACCCTTCACTCCGCAGGCCGACGCTCTATCCACTGAGCCAAACCAGCCTCGGCGACAACTTGATTTTTAATGAGTTGCCAGGTGAAACCCTAAATTATTTAATCTTTTTAAATTATTCAAAGACTACCAGCAAATCTACATAAACATATTTTTTAATATGGCATAAATGCAATTGAGTCTTGCAACTCAATAGATGCTTTATTTCAAAATGATTTATTGTGAGTATTAAATTACTATATTTTCTACCCTATTTATAATTTGCAGAACTAAAATAAAGTAGAGAAGTATGTCTCTTATATCACTTGACCTTCACACTCTCGATGTCCTTATGTGAAAAAGAGGATGGGGCAAGGGGAACCTCCCAGAGGACAGTGATGGTCGGACTAGGATTAAGCACACAGAGACAGAAAGCACAGCAGCTGGGCTCAGGGATTGGGGCTTTACTTACTTCTGAAGCAAGCAAGCAAACCTAATGCAGAGAAATAACAGTTGGCTTTACACTGTAATATTTATTTTCTTTTCATTAGATTTTTGAAGACTATGAGAAATTGCTTCAGTCTGAGAATTATGTGACTAAGAGACAGTCTTTAAAGGTAATATCAAATTTAACTTAGAGTCTCCATAAATTGATGTCTTAGTAGTAAATGATTGGTTTATTAGTAAGCAAGTAAATACAGAAAAATTTAAATATCCTTTTTGTAACTTGAGAAATACTTTGTTACAACTATACTTTATAGCAAAATAATGAGTCTTGCCTCAAATACTTTTTAGAAGTAATAATATAAATAATAAGTATGTGCTACTACACAAAAAGTATGTTGTGTGTGACCACAATTTGAGATTATATCTCCAATTTGAGATTATGTCTCCTGTGAAATTCCTGTGGAAATGCCATTCTCCCTTATCAAACAGGGAGCCCAGCAGAGCAGGGCTACATCTGTCTGTCTGAGAGTGGCCTTCCCTCCGCCAGTGAAAAGTGCCTGGAAGCAGCCATTTGACCAGGAGGGACATTTCTTAAGTATTCTGCTCAGATACTGGTAAACCCTTGATTTTGCAGTCCTTGATTTAACGAACTTCAGATTTAAGGAACAAAATTTCTGGTTCGTATGTCATGGGTGAAAATTAATACCCTGGTAATTTAAAAATGCTTTTAACAAAGATTTGCTTATAATTAACAGGTTATTTTGTTATTAATTCATTGTTACTTTTAACAAATTTTAGCAAATAGGCCATATGTTGGGAAGAACACTGGTAATTTTGTTAAAATAGATAAATATTATATATCTACAACTATAGTCTACATATTTAAATCCAAGAGTCACCACTCATAAACAGTGTTCAGAGAATGATTAGCACATGATCATACCTTATGTGTCATAATTGGTTCTGTTGTTCAATAGCATGGCTTTGAGCAGCATTTTTAACTCTTCCTACCGATGCTCCCACCTGTGCTAAGCCACGCCCCACCGTGTGCAGTTGTTTACTTGAGGTGATTGGTGAATGCATGCATTTACTAGACCTGTTCAGTGTAAATTTAAAATGACAACAATACATATAGAAAACTTTTCTGTGAAATTAAACTTGTCATGCTTACTTAATGTTAGTTATACAAACGTGTCTACATAAGTAAAAACAGGTTAACTAATTTGTCAAATTTTTAACATACACATTTGGAAAACCTACTTTATTATATAACAGACTTTCAGCTTTAATGGACACCTACTCACCTGAATTAATCTGTTATATAAAGGTTTTACTGTATTCAAAAGAATGTTTTTAGCAGATAATACTTGGTTGTTTTTTGTCAACCAAGTTGTATGATGTTTGAGCTTACTAAATATCATTCACTTTATTTTTATATGTTTGGGATGACATTCATAGAACAATGCATTTATTTCTAAATATTGTATAGTTTTAAACTTAAGCCATTAATTATAGTTTTGTACCATATTTTTGTAAATAAAAAATCCTATAACCATGATTTTGTATTGACCATGACCTGCTTTCCCCTGTATTTGTGCCCTCGCTGTTCCAGCTTCCACCATGGAGGAGAGGGCCTTGTACTGTTTTCAGCCAGTCACTCAGCACTCTTTATTGAGTTTCCCTTTGAGTGAAACCCATACAAGGTGATCCCTGTAGGAAAGACACCATGCTGTGTTCCTTGCTGGAGCTCGCTGTGATGAGACTGAGCTCTAGGCAAAGGCAGTGACATCAGTGCCGGGCTTTCCCATGTCCAGCTTGATAACGCAGTTGAAGATAAGGATGCATCCTACTGCCACGGCCATGTACCTGAAGAACAGAATTGCTTATTTGTGAAGGGCTGCACGAGGACAGCCAAAACACAGCTGTCCGTGTTTACTAGTATAAGAGGTGGTCTCCCTCTTATACAGTAAACAGAGGTGACAATGGTCTGAAGGGCCAGAATATGGGAAATTGCTAATACATTTTCAAATCTTTCCTCTTTCAGTGGTGATCTGTCAGATACTGGACCAAAGTAGAGACATTGTTACAAACTAAGGTGACAACTAGGGGTCAAAAAATCTCCCTGTTCCGTCTTCAGCAGGAACACGAACTTGTGACAGGGACTTTTCTCTAGCTGGGTAGGGTCTTAGACAGAGTTTTAAAACTGGCAGTTTTTTATTCAAACATCCCCCTTCTGACCCTAATTTCTGCTTTTCCTTTCTTACTATCCTATCATCTCCTTCTACCCTGTGCCTATTGTCTCATTCTCTTTTCAAGATATCTTCAGCCCCACCTTATCCTGATCCCTTGTTAATATTTGAAAGTGGTTAAAACAGAGCCTAGCTCATGATAAGCAATAGATGTTTGTTCAATAAAATAAAAAGCAATTTTATAAGTAAACTAGAGGCCCGATGCACAAAATTTGTGCATGGGGGGCGGGTGTCCCTCAGCCTGGTCTGTACCCTCTCGCAATTCGGGACCCTTCACTCCTAACCGCCCGCCTGCTTACTCCTTACCACTTGGCTCACTGCTCCTTACTGCCCGCCCACTCGCTCATTACCTCTTGGCTTGCTGCTCCTTAGCACTGCTGTGGAGGTGGGAGAGGCATTCGCCTGCCATGAGCTCGGCTTCTGGCTGAGTGGCTTTCCTCTTGTAGGAGCACACTGACTACGGGGAAGGGGGGGGGGGGGGGGGGAGTCCTGCATTGAGCATCTGCCCCTGGTGATCAGTGCGCGTCATAGGTCATAGGACTAGTCATTCTGGTTGTTCCACCATAATGGTTGCTGGGCTTTTATATAGATGGATATTCATCATTATCCTCAGAGTTTAATCTCTGGGAGGTTTTGATCAATTCTAAATAAGTAATTGAGACTAGAGTGTGAATTAGACTTATTCCTACCAGGATTCATTTGCATTTAAAAATAGAAGCTTGTTAATACAGTGGAGATGTGATTGGTGTGTATGTCATACAAATTTGGGGGTAGCAAATGGAAGGAAGACAGTTCATTCCTCACTGCTGTTTGCTGTCGCCCAGCTCTCCATTGCCCAGCCTCCCTCTTCACATGGTTCTGTGGTTAGAGACCTCTGCAGTGTTCCCAGTGACACCAACAAGAAGCAGCAGAGTTTGTATCTGGTATTTAAACACTCCCTTTTTCCAACTTATTATGTTTCCTATTCATTTACAAATACCTCAGCTGACTCACCTTATTATGTATTAATCCCTGCAGACATACTATAATGGTTGCTATTCCTGCCTAAAATTCTTTACAATTGAATGTCTTGAAAATATTTTATTAAGAATATGGTAAAACCAAGCACTGGTTGAACAGTAAATAAAATAAAATAGAAAAGGAGGAAAAGAAAAAAGACAAGAAACTAGTAAAAGGCAGATAAAGCATATCTGAGAATGCAGAAATTATTTAAAAGGTTACCGAAGAGTTGGCTTTTTTGTTTTTGTTTTTTTTAAAAAATATATATTTTATTGATTTTTTACAGAGAGGAAGAGAGAGGGATAGAGAGTTAGAAACATTGATGAGAGAAAATCATCGATCAGTTGCCTCTTGCACATCCCCTACTGGGGGTGTGCCCGCAACCAAAGTACATGCCCTTGACTGAAATCGAACCTGGGACCTTTCAGTCCGCAGGCCGATGCTCTGTCCACTGAGCCAAACCAGTTTCGGCCAAGAGTTGGCTTTTTTGAATGCCACATTACAGGCAGAGACTTGCTAAAATGGTCTTGTATCACTCTATTCAAGGAAAGAGCTCACTAAATATTGTTTATTATTTTCTTCAACAGAAAAACATTGTTTTGAAGAGCTCTGCTAGCGTGCTGTTGGTTTTTCCTTTTGGAAATTAGTTGTGTGGGTAGCAGCAGTACGTTCTATTTTAACATAACCTTGTTTATGTCACTGGATTCTGTAATATTTTATATATAGATGTTTTATAATTATAGGAAACAAGAGGTTAAATTATTACAATAGTCTACTTACAGTATTCTTCAAGTAATGAATTATATTAAAGCTAGGTGTTTTGTGGAAGGGCAGTGTATGAAAGCAGCTCCCCAATGCTAGAAAGGACCGACATGCCAAAATATGAGGCCAAGTCCAGTTTGTCAGTTATAAAGGTGAGCCTTCCACCCCCACTCCTCACCGCGCCAGACTTTGTACGTTATGAGAGCAGTGAGAATGCATGGATGAGCAAAGAGATCAGGTGCCAGAGGCTTCAGTGCCAGAGAGAGGTAAGAGAAACTGGGAGAGTGCCTCGCCCTAGAGAGAGAATTGATGTGAATCTTGTGATCAGCCCAAAGCTCTGGTTCCGTTCCAGAGTCACTTAGGGAAGGGGGGAGGTTCGGTCTGTCATCACCCAGATGTCAGGACAGCGGGTTAGCTTTGAGATGGGGTCACTTATGTTCCTCACACTATGCTATTTTCTGATTCCAAAGTAGTGCTACCTGCTGCCTTTTGTTAATCATATTCTAAATTTTCCTAAACTATTTTGGGGAGCTTGGATTCCTAGTGTCAATAAAAAATAATTAACAGCGAAATTCCTTTCACTCATATGACAGAGTTTAGAAATGTAATTCTTGTCTTCTTCAGGGGCCTGACATTTAATTACTAGATAGAAAGATTATAATTCAAAAGAACCTTGGTGGAATTTGGGAGGGGTTTGGACTCTGGTCAATTTAATTAAAACCCTAAGTTAAAAAACACACTCATTATATCTATTGTACTTGATGTGCATGGCTTTACTATATAGTATGAAGCCTATGAAATAAAATTTAAGGAAGTAAAAAATACAACTTTTTCCATGAAGTGAAGTATTTTGTCATTGTTAGTATTAATTAAAATAGATTAACACTTACTGACTAAAAGACTCAGTGTTGTTCACCAAATGATTTAATACAATTGTTTCAGAAAAGTAGTGAAATTATATTAGCAAAGGATGGACATCCCCACAAAAAACAATGTAATAAAAACTGAAGTGACTTAATCTGAATTTAACTCATAAACATCATCTAATGTTTATTGAATGTGTGTATGTACATTTTAAGGATTAGGTTTTTTTAAATGAAATTGTTGCTAAAAGACCTTTTCATATGTATGTTTGTGTGATATATATATTTTTTAACATGTGGTATATTAATATATTACATTTGATTATATATTTTTACAGAAATACATTTTAGATTTATATCTATATACTAGTATTAAGATATGTTACATACATGTTTTATAAAGATATACACTGAGTAGCCAGATTATTATGATCTCTAAATGTATAATAATCTGGCCACTCAGTGTATCTCTTATATAATAAAAGGCTAATATGCAAATTGTCCCCTCAACCAGGAGTTTAACCAGCAGGCAGGCCGGCCAACCACCCATGTCCCTTACTCCCCCTGGCAGGCTGGCCAGACCTCACCCATGTACGAATGCATGCACCAGGCCTCTAGTTAAGTAATAAAACTGCTTTCCTTCTATATTTGTTGAGAAGATTCTGTGGTAATAGGACCTTATTTCCCCAACACTATCCACATTTATCACACAAGCTGTGAAGGGTACAAACACAAACAAGATTTGATGTATGCCCCGTGGAGCTTACATTCTAAAGAGACTCACAAGTAACTCTGTACTGCAAGACAGTGTGAGTACAGCTGGGGAAAAACAGAGAGCACAGAGGCAGTTGAGGAGATTCAGCCAGGGAGAAAGTCAGACTCACAGAAACATAGGGTAGAATGGTGGTTACCATGGGCTGGGGGGTAGGGGAAATGGGGAGAAATTGATCAACAGTTATAAAATTTTAGCTATAGATAAATAAGGTTTGGGAATCTAATGTACACTATGGTGACTATAGTTAACAATACTGAATTGTATACTTGAAAGTTGTTGAGAGTAGATATTAAGCATTCTCACCACACACACACACACACACACACACAACTGAGGTGGTGGATGTGTTAACATGATTGTGGTAAATATTTCACAATGAATAAGTATATGAAATCATTACAATGTACACTTTGTGTACAGTTTTTTCAATTATATATAGAGGCCTGTTGTACAAAATTGGTGCATGGGGAGAGTCCCTAGGCCTGGCCAGCAATCAGGGCTGATCGAGGCCTTCTGGCTGCCATCCTGGGCCTTTCTTCCAGCTGCCAGCCAGGGCCTTCCTTTGTTCTGTGTGGTCTGTGCACATCATAGCAAGCAATTGAAATCCTGGTCTCCTGGTCAAACTCCTGATGGGACACTTTACATATTAGCCATATATATATATATCTGGGGTGGGTGGATGGAGCAAGGGAAATAAGGCCACAGACCCAGGAATAAGGGAGACTTAAGTGAGAGAGCGGAGGAGAGGAAGCAGCAGGAATGACTTCAGATCACAAAGGGCTTTGAGTACATCCATAGGAATCTAGACATTTGTTTGTGCATCCGTTTTATAAGTGGAGTTAGTAACATGAATAGGGCTGATCTTTGGGAAGATTTGTTTGACATATGTGCAGAATGAATTGGATTGGCTGAAGACTGCAGAGGAGACCATTTGTGTGCTATTGCAGTTGTCCAGATGAAAGGCAGTAAGGGTTTGGATGAGGGTACTGGCAGTAAAAATTGAATGAAAGATTTTTGAGGCTCTTAGAAACAGAATATTGGAATATCTTGGATGTAGATTTTATGTGAGGAGCAAGAGAAAGAAAGGAGCTGGGAAGATTTCAACACTCTGCCCTAAGGCACTAGAAGATATGATGTCATTAACAAGGAGAAAAGAGGAAAGAGACATTAAGTGTGATAGGCCAGGAAAGTGTTTGGCTGGGGCTGCCAGGTAGACAGTTAGAAACGTGGGCATGTAGTGTAGGAAAGAAATTGAAATTGGAAATGGAGATTTGAGAGACACCTTCCCAGATGTTATGGTTGAAGCTGTGGACTTAGATGAGACTATTGGGAAATAAAAGCTAAGTGATTCAAGTATACAGCTTGGAATGAATGAATGAGTGAATGAATGAATGAATGAATGAGAAAAAACAAGTATACAGCTTGGAAAATTCCTGCATATGTAGTGCCAAAGGAAGACAAGTCAGTAATAGAGGCAGCAAAGGATACTACAAGGGGTAAGAAACCAGAAGAATGAAATAGCCTTGAAACCAAAAGCAAAGAAAGTTTCCAAAAGAGTGTTCAATTAGCGTTAGATGCTCAGAGAGACTAAGGAAGATGAAGATCAATGATTTACATGCTTGCCATTCCATATGTATATGACTAACTGGTAACCAGCTAACACATAACTACGGTCATCATTTTCTATGTTTAACAAACATTACTTCTGTGCACTAAAATTACTTAAAGGTGTGTACTTCTCATTTGTTAAATAGACAAAAGATGCATCACAGGCAAGGTTGTTGTTCCCTGGCTACCAAACACACACACACACAACGTACGCACACACCCCTACTACCTACACACCCCAACAGGTGTTACTAGACTGCATTGTGAGATAGACAGTTTCATGTGCTCTCTCCTTCCATCCAGCACTTAAACATGTATGTGATGTATTACTATCCTGGGACATCTAGAAAAATTCCAGTAAATAGGAGATTTGGGAAATAAATATATCACATATAAAATTATGTTAAGGGTACACTTCAACTGCCTGGTTGCCAAAGCTTTAGGAATTGCTCCCACTACAGTGAGAAGACAAGTTGAGGTGGAGCAGCAGCACATTAAGCTGTGCTGTTAGAGTATTTCTCTTTAATTATTCTCACTTTTGGTATTTTTATTTTGTTTTGAAGTATCTTAGTCTGTTCTGGCTGCTATAACAAAATACCATGGATTGGATGGCTTAAATAAGAAATATTTATTTCTTGTAGTTATGGAGGCTGGGAAGTCCAAGATTAAAATGCCAGCAGGTAGAGAGCTCTCTGAGGTCCCTTTCATAAGAGCACCAGTCCCATTCATGATGTTTTTACCCTCATGTACTAACCTCTTAAAGACCCCTCCTCATAATACCATCACGTTGGAGGTTAAAATCTCAACATGTAGATTTTGGAGAGCACATAAGCATTCAGTTCACAACATAGAGTAATGCTGCATTTTGGGAACTATTAATTTGTCACCAGAAAATGTCTTGCTTTTTATAAAAACGTGCTGCACATGTTAAACTTCATTTGGGTTGAGAATCAATTTTTTTTTCTGGTTATATATCAGAGTTTGTAATAAAAGTTTTGGGGAAAATATAAGCCACTTTACATAACCTATTTTTTCCCAAGTAAGCTACTAGAGTACATTAATTTAGATAATGAGGGAATAATTGTAGAGTCAATTTTGTTCTTCTTATCCTACTTCAAGATAATTTAAGCAATGAAAATAATAAATTAGTTTCTCACTAGCTCTTGATTAGCGCTACAAAGTGAGATTTTTATACCTGCAGCAATGATTGGCTTAAAAATAAATTCAGAAATGCATTAAGTATGGACTTTAACAAAACTGGAAAAAGCTTAAAATAACTACTGCTTTCATGCCTGTGCTTTAAGATGTGCTTAAGGACTCTCAGTTTTTTTCATGTCAACATTCTAAACTCACATTTATATTTTGTTTTTAAGTGGGAAGCAATGAGATGTATTTTGAATAAGATGGCTTTCAGATTATAGCATTGATTTTTTGTTTTATTTGTTTATAGCTGCTGGGGGAACTGATCCTGGATAGACACAACTTTGCCATTATGACAAAGTACATCAGCAAGCCAGAGAACCTCAAACTGATGATGAACCTCCTTCGAGATAAAAGTCCCAATATTCAATTTGAAGCCTTTCACGTCTTTAAGGTAAAGCGTAAGCTACAGAAATAAAGTGGGCATTTGTTTTCCAGTTTCAAGTGGCAAACTCCTTACTTTTTATTCTCCTTCATACTTGAGAAAAAATTAAATAGGCAGTCTTTTGTTTTGCATGAGTTAGTTGAAATTTTAGAGTTATATTAATGAATGCCCATTTCTTTCTAAAAGGTTTCTAACCAATCCATATCTCTAAATATTTTCTTTTTTTATTAAGAAAACTAGAGGCCCGGTGCATGAAAATTCATGCACTGGATGGGGATCCTCAGCCCGGCCTGCCCCCTCCCACAGTCCGGGAGCCCTCAGGGGCAGGAGGCGACCCGGTGATCAGGGGAAGGCAGGCCCCCATCACACTCGGCTGCTGCCACTGCCGGCAGCGCAAGCCTTGTCCGACCTGGTCACCTGAGCCTCAGATGTCCCTGAGCGGCTGGGCAGCCGCCATCCGGGACTTGCCTGCGCCTTGGGCTGCCCTGGGCAGCTAACATCCAAGGCTTGCCTCTGCCTTGGGCCAGCCCAGGGCGGCTGGGCAGCTGACATCCAAGGCTTGCCTCTGCCTTGGGCCAGCCCAGGGCGGCTGGGCAGCTGACATCCAAGGCTTGCCTCTGCCTTGGGCTTGCCCTGGGCGGCTGGGAAGCCAACATCCGAGGGGGTGAGGGGATTGGGGGACTCTGGACTCCGGCACGCGGAGGTGACAGACCCACCTAGGGCGGTCCCAGCCATGCTGTGCACCTGCCACCCCGACGGGACTGAGGGGCCTGGGCACAACCATCTTGTTGTTGTGGGCACCACCCTCTTTAGGACATTCCCTCCTTATTGGTTGTAGGCACAGTCATCTTTGTGAGGGTGTGATGGTCAATTAACATATTCCCTCTATTAGGATAGGTAGATATGTTTCCTAAAAGTTACTAAAATAATCAGTGACTGAGCTAGAACTCAAATCTTGAGTGTGAGAATTTGAATGCTTTGCTTTCTGCCTTAAGTATTTCTCTGAACCTTAAATGAAGCAATGAAGAAACACTTGGGTACTACTCACTTTTATTACTTATTCATAAATATTTTTGTAAATGTATTTTCCTATGAAAGAAAGCTAGCCCCTGTAATACCTGCTATCTCTTCCTAATAATTTTTTCATTAGTATCCTATACAATTAAAGTCTAGTATGCAAATAGACTGAATGGTGGAATGACCGGTAGAACGACTGCTGCTATGATACACACTGACCACCAGGGGACAACCAGCAGTGGCGATTGGGGGCCGGGCCAGCTGGTGGGCAGCACCAGGCCACCAGCCACGGTGGGTGCCAGCTGGGGCACCATGATCACCCTGCCCACCGGTCACCCCACAGATCGGCCCTGATCGCCAGCCAGGCCCAGGGACCCTACCCTATACATTGGGAACCGTCTCTAAAATTTAAACATTAAAACCTGGCAAGGCTACTCTAACACTGAAAAAACAGGATGGTGCAGGGACTCTGACTTGCACATTTTGTGGTCAGCCCTGATGCTAACACTTATAATTGTGTGACAGAGCCAACTACTTAACTCCTCTCTGCTTCAGTTTTTCCACCTATAAGATGGGGAAAATGGGACTATTGTCTCAGAAGGATCGTGTTATGTACTACATTTTATAATCAGGGCAAAAATATGTAGCAACCCATACAACAGCAAGATGCTTTTCACCTGTATGAAAAGTGTGGTCACTGGTGCATATAGCATCCTGGACTGTGAGAGGGATGTCCGACTGTTGGTTTAGGCCAGCAAGGATCAGGTCTAAATTGTCAGCAGACACCCACTGAGGGCGCAGGCTGGGCTGAGGGCCCAGGCTAGGCTGAAGGTCCCCCACTGTGCATGAATTTCCTGCACTGTGCCTCTAGTAAGTAATCAAATGGCCTCCTAGAAACTTTAGACAATGGATTTTTATAGATTACTAGAGGCCCAGTGCACAAAATTAGTGTACCTGTACCCTTTCCAATCTGGGACATCCCTCTCACAATCCAGGACTGCTGGCTCCCAATTGCTCACCTGCCTGCCAGCCTGATCACCCTCTAACCACTCCCATGCCAGCCTGATTGATGTCTAACTGCTCCTCTTCCAGCCCATTTGCCCCCAACTTCCCTCCTCTGCCAGCCTGGTCACCCCTAACCACCCTCCCCTGCAGGGTTGATCACCCCCAACTGCCCTCCCCTGCAGGCCTGATCCCTCCTATCTTCCCTCCTCTGCTGGCCATTTTGTGGTGGCCATCTTGTGTCCACATGGTGGCAGCCAGCTTGTGTGTCGGAGTGATGGTAAATCTGCATATTACTCTTTTATTAGATAGGATAGGGGCCTGGGACGTGGGTGGGGGCCAGCTGGTTTGCCCTGAAGGGTGTCCCAGATCAGGGTAGGGGTTCCCTTGGGATATTGAGCGGCCTGGGAGAGAGGCCTGTGATGGTTTGCAGGCCAGCCACAACCCCTGGCAACCCAAGCGGAGGCCCTTGTATCTGGGGTTTATTTATCTTCTACAATTGAAACTTTGTAGCCTTAAGCAGAGGCTTGGGCCAGCCAGGGTGTGTGGAAAGCTTGACTTCCTCCATCGCCAGGGGAAACCATAGCCTCCTGCTCTTTCCAGCTCCATGGCTGCCACCATTTCTGTTTAGATTTATGTATCTTCTATCATTGAAACTTTGTAGCCTTGAATGGAGGCCTAGGCGGGCAAGGGCAGGTGGAAAGCTTGGCTTCCTCCATTGCCTGGGAAATCCAATCCTCCCTCCAGCTCTCTGTGGCTGTAGAGCCATCTTGGTTGGGTTTATTTGCATACCCACTCCTGATTGGCTGGTGGGTGTGGGTTGTGGGCGTGGCTTGTGGGCATAGTGGAGTGATGGTTAATTTACATATTACTCTTTTATTAGATAGGATGGTTGATGAGAAAATCTAATCTATAATTTCATACTCCTAACTATTGTAAAGACTTTAGTAAGTTTTCTCTTCCTGTGCACATATTTGAAGGTTTTTTTTTCCTACAGCTGTATTCACATTGTACCCAAAATTCATAACCTGATTTTATCACTGAATGCTACACCATCAGTAAACATTAATTCATTATCATTATATGTCATTTTTAGAACTAGTAGTTTTATTGGCATCATAGTTTATCATTGGATATATTTATTTTAGTTTACTTAAATATTCCTGCAAGCTAGGTGAGCTTTTTTTTAGTCTTTATAATGTACAATATGTTCATTAATTGAATTTATCAGTCTATACACGGACACATGGCAATTTATAAGATACTGGAGGCCCAGTGCACAAAATTCGTGCATGGGTAGGGTCCATAGGCCTGGCCAGGGATCAGGGCTGATCTATGGGCACGATTGGTGCCCCCACTGGCCACCCACCTTGGCTAGCCTGGTGCTGCCCAACTCACTGGTCCTGCCCCCGCCCCCTGCTGCTGCTGCTGGTCAGGGCCTGTGGACTGGGGGCAGCTTCTGCATTGAGCATCTTCCCCTGGTAGTCAGTGTGCATAATAGCTACTGTTGTTCTGCCAGTCATTCCACTGTTCAGTCAATTTGTATATTAGGCTTTTATTGTATAGGATTTAATTGTTGCTCTGAGAGATTAAAAAAAAAAAAAGTTTTAATCCGTCTTTCAGCCACCGAATCTTCATTGTCCAAAAAGTCACTAGAGAAATTTAAATCCAAAATTAATTTATAAATCCCATTCAATTACATTAAAAATTCCAACAGCAATTTTCCTGGAACTTAACAAGCTAATTCTAAGATTTGTTATTTTTGTGTGTGTTATTGTTGTTGTTGTTATTGTTTGCTTTTTAAACATTTATCTTTATTGTTGAAAGTATTGCAGATGTCCCCTTCCACCCTTCCCCATTGACCCCTTTCACAAGTATAGCCTAGAAATATCGATGGTAAATATCGATAGGGGAATCCTCCCTACCAGATTTTAAACTTATTATACCCAGTCAAAATGGCAGAGTAAGAAAATGCTATGCTTGCCTCCTCCCATGACCACATCAAAATTTCAACTAAACTACAGAACAACAATCATTGAGAACCACCTGAAATGTAGTGAAATAGAAATCCCATATCTAAGGATATAAAAAAGAAGCCACATTGAGCCCGACCAGTGTGGCTTAGTGGTTGAACATGAACCCATGAACTAAGAGGTTTGATTAGGGCACGTAACTGGGTTGTGGGATCAATTCCCAGTAAGGGGGTGTGCAGAAGACAGCTGATCAATGATTTTTCTTTCATCATTGATGTTTCTATATCTCTCTCCCTTCCTCTCTGAAATCAATAAAAATATGTTTAAATAAAAGAAGCCACATTGAGACCAGTGGGAGGGGTGAAGACACAGAATGGACTGGTCCCACACCCATATGTGGCAGTTTTCTCAGCTTCATCGGTTCCTGCTGAGGAAGAAAGGTCCCAGGCCCACATCATCCTTCCTAGCCCAGGGTTCCTGTCCAGGGAAGAGAAGTCCCCATAAATTCTGGCTGTGAAAACCAGTGGGGATTGAGGCTGAGAGGATTCAATCTGGTGAGAAGGAGGGCTGCTGGAGTCCTAGGCATTAGGGCCTGTGCTTAGGCTTACTCGCTGATGAACTCAACTGATCTGAACTCCAGTGCTGGGATTGTGGCTGAAAAGCACCAAGATGACCTGGAGTGACTCATTTATCTGGCTCAGGGTGAGGACTGGAGAGGCAGCTCTCTTTCAGGCAGATGGGCTGGCAGAGGCCTTTGGTCCTTTGTTCAGTCCTCTCCCACCTAGCCTGCAGGCTCAGACTGGCACCAGGTCTGAGTCTCCATCAATCCCAGCACTGGTTATTCCCCGACCCACCCAACTTGATGACCTACCAGGCCACTTCCAGTGGCTTTTCCATACAAACAGCCTGTCATGGCTCATGCTTCGTTACTTTACTGAATTCTCTCAAAGGTTCACAAACTTCAAGTAAGCAGTATCTGGCCTCATTGTGCCCATACTTCTTTTTTAAAAAACATAT